GAGACAGCAGACGAATATGAGCAACAATACAACAAATAGAAAGATTTGTGTGAAGTATCAACGTGAATTATAGTAAAACAGGAGGAAAAAATAGAAAGAGAAAGTATCTATAAATATCCAACACGTGTTATCGACAAGCTCATTTGATTTGTTACATTTTGTCTTGATAAACTGTCTTATCTTTATCATATATTGGTTTTTTCCTACCTGTGAAAAAGTAAAATTTTTTTATTGAGGTCAATAGTAGTACTTAATAAAGGGTCTCTCTAAGCATTTCTTTATGGATATAAACTTTGAACACGCCTCTATCATTGATAAAAAAATCAGCTCGTTTGATAGAAGTTCTAATGGAAATATTCAATTTTTTTTCGGTAAACCAACTTTTGCGTCACCCCGTATTCACTCTATTGGAAGCAAAATTGAATGAAATAAAATGAATTTTTCTGTTTGATATATGTCCTTGTCTGTGTTTATTCACGTGCTCGAATGTATTCAAGTATATTGAAATTAGCTGTCTAATCTGATGGATACTTTTAGTAGGAGCGTCACTAATGAGGTACATTTCGATTACATATCAGATCTAGTATAATTTATTTGGAGCTAGAAGTTCAGCTGAACTCATGTTTTTGTAGTGGACGCTCTAGCAAACGACAGTGTCAGTTGATATGCTAGTAACCATAAGGACTTTTAGCAGAATTTTCAAGGAGTATGAAGCGTTTTCACTCTTGTGTCACGGATGAGCGTTGCTTCGTGATCCTTTCAGTACATTGAATATAATCTCTTTTTTCTAGTGTGTGTGGATACTGCTGCTGCGTGTGTAGTTCATTTAGATTTCTGTTGAGTATCGATGTGTGAGTATCAGTTTGATGAGACGAATTTATGACAAAAATCCTCACACAGACAGGCATATCATCATGCACAATAAGCTTGATACTAGTACCAGCATCCACACACACGCTTTTTCAAATGTTGGATAATAGCTTTGTTGAGAGCTACAAAGAAGTATAAAATAGCGAACGAGCCGAATATTTAGCCGAGGATAAAGCGAGTCATACCGACGAGCATTATTTGTTTTAAATCATGTTCAATCTATATGCCCTAGTGGAACATCTTGTAAGCAAGATCTTGGCCAAGATCTTGGGTACAGATAAGTTAACAGATCTTGAAAATTTAGGTACAAGATAATACGATTATCTTGTACCAAGATCTGATTACAGATCTTGGGTACAGATATGTAAGATCTTAGGTACGAATCCATAAGATCTTAGGTACGGATCCATAAGATTTTGCATACACACTAAGATAAAACGTGTTGCATGTGTCGTGATTTGCGACACAGTGTATGACGAATTCTGAAAGAGTGGTTCGAACCTATAATATAGCGCATTTTTTATTTTTTTCTGTTAAAGCATGTTATGATATTTTTTCAATTTATTTTCATTTTAATTATTCCTGTCCCGAATAACTGAAGCAAGCCAGATCGAGAGACCTGACTGGCTTTGAGTTGACTCGATCTCCATCAGACCACTTCGGGGTAGTTCTCTCTCGATCATCGATCGAGATCAGCATGTTCTCGAATAATCAATAGTCGAGAAATAGTTTAGAAAAAAAAATCATTTTGAAAATTTATATTTTGTATGTTCAATCATGTTGTTTATATACAGCTGTGTATGCATAAAAAAACGGTGAATGACTAGTCAGCATTGTAAATATACAAATGATGTCGGTTTTTGTTTTACTCAAGATCTTGTGAGAAGATAGTAGTCAACGATATCTTTTCCACGATCTTGCCAAGATCTTAGGTACAGATTTATCTGATACAACCAAGATATGTACATACAAATTATCTTTTCAAGATCTTGATAAGATCTTGCTTACCGATCCCAAGATTTCAAGATCTTGCTTACAAGATGTTCGACTAGGATGTATATCTTCGATACAAATGATTGCGATTTGTTCGTTTCATGCGCAGCTGTTAACGTTAAATAAAGACTGTGCTGTTTCTTAGGGAAAAATACACCATTGCATTGTTAGTCGACACGTAAATACAAAAATATTTAACTTGTAAATGAATACATAAAAAGCCTCGCAAAGATTAGTGCATAAATACTAGTTTCTGCAATAAAACATCCACAGGCAACATATGCTTTAATTTAATCTATCATGCATCTCAATTAAATCAAAATAATTATTAATTTCACTTAAATAAAACTATTCAATTAATTTAAACGTTAATCAAGTTAAAATGAATGATAGTTATAACCTCAGTTCATATATATAACGGTGATTGAAAGCTATATCTGCAGTTGATAGTTATCATGTTGGGTTTTACTTATAAACAAAGTGATAGCCACCTTAACCCTTTTAGTCCCAAACTATTTCTGCTAAATTTAATTCAAGTAGGCTGTTGAATTCGCTTATTTTAGACAAGGACATTCATCACAAATAACTTGCACGCGCTCCTATGTGGTTCTTCGTATAAGTTTTACTGACTTTAGTCGCATTTCAGCAGAAATTCTTAATTCGTAAAGTTTATTAATTTCAAAACGTATACAAGATTTTCATGAAACAACAGAAAACAATTTTTATTTTTTTTTTACATGCAGAGAAATGTCACAAAAACTAAATATTATGCTACTAAATACTGAACAAGCTGTCTCACTGTAATATCAGCATCTTCTTTTAGACACAACGCCATACATATGTCCTAACAGTTGAGTTAATGAAGATTTGTTCACCAACGTTTCTAAAATTTGCTTTTACTTTCTGAACAATGAAAAGAAAGTTCTGCTGTCTCTTTATTATCAGCTCTACTCATCAATCGAAACTTTCGCAATAAACCACTATATATTTCCTCTACAGCTAGTTCGGGAGAATTCTAGAGCATTCATTATTGTTTCATTCTAAGCAATTAAGTACTAGTTTTTATAAATTATGTAATGAAAAATAACTATAAACCATGTGTAGCTTTTTTATACTCTGGGACTGAAAAGAGTTGAATTTTTTGGCATTTTTCTCAACTATGAACTTTTTCAACAAAGGTTTAACTCCTATACTATTTCACACTCATCATAGCCAAATGCCACCTCACCTAGGCTCTATCTGGATCTACTGGCAACAACTATTATACATCAGAATCAATACTGAATTTTGTACTCGACGATTTCCTCAATCGACAACATAGAGATTCCCGTGTCGATCGAATGACAAACCGAAGGGTCTATTGAGTTGGTTCGATTGTTCTCCTCTACCGTCTCCACCAACAATGACACTTCCTTGTGTGGCTCCTTTAGGCCAACGCATGATTCGATTATTCCATCGATCAGCCACATAGACAGTGCCCAATTGATCGACAACGACTCCTTGAGGAGATGACAATTGTGTAAGATCATTTCCATATCCTTGACCATCAGCCACGACAATGCCTTGTTTTGCACCTTCCATCCATTTCATCACACGATGATTGTTCCAATCAGATACGTACACTGAATGATCTCGATCGACGAATACGTATGTTGGGTAAGAGAGTTGATCGAGACGATTTCCACTTCCATTGCCACCTGCAACCACTGTTCCTTGAGATTCTCCTCTTCGATATCGTCTCACTTCATGTTTTAGAAAGTCAGTGACATAGAGAGATCCATTCTCGTCCATTGTCAAACCCATACAAGCGATGTTGGAGATGATTGTTTCTCCACTTGTCCCATTTCGACGAGGCCATCGAACCACTCTTCTATTCGAAGTATCGCATATGATGAGACTATCTCTCTCTTTGTCGATAATCACAT